ACAAAAATCTACTGATAAGCATCAGTCCTTCAACAAGTGATTGGCATTCTGAATTCACATGAATTGGGCACACAACAGCCAAAATGCTCCAGATTAGTCTCCTGGAAAGACAAAAGTTCAAGTAATTGGCAGGATGTAAAATCTTAGACACAGCATTGGTATTGTTCATTACCAGTTATTTGAGAATAAATTGCAAATAAATAAATGGGCTGCATTTGTTCATTTTTGTTTTCAAAATGATGGAGTTGCTTAGAGTTTAAGTTTTGACACGTTAATCAGCTTTACCATTTGTCACTTTCATGTTAAAATGTAAAATGTGTCAAAACATTGCACTGTACCTTTAAAATATTAATATTCGAGAGAAGACACAACATTAGCACAACTTAGTGTGGTCTAGTCTCAGCGAGGGATTTCTCATGTCTGCAGGACATAATTAGCATGCTCAGATTTTAGTTAATATGAATTTTGCCAGAGGGATACATGTTGAGTTGTGTTTGCTCAGTCTGCTCGGCTAGGGTCAGGGCGGTGTTCCCAGCAGATAAATCAAACTTGCTTGGACACATGCTAAGTAATTGACTAAACATGATGGATGCCTCTAAATCTGTTTTCCATTCCCATACAAACTTGTGGAACTTGTTACATGCCTACACTGTACAGCTGTCATTCCCGCAGGCTTATTAATTCATCACCACGGCTTTATGGCTTAACCCCCATAAGCCTTCAGTCGCACTCCTCCTCCCACAAATGGCAATGTCCAATTAGTTTAAGAATATATGCCGTACTGCTTCCCTTTACAGAACCTAAAAACAGGTCCGCTATCCAATAACCTTTGGAGTACATGGGCTGTGACTTTGCCTTCACCTCAATAAAGCTCTTCGTGATTGAATCAAGTGGCCGGGGTCAATAGGACATATGTTCATTTCCCAGGGTCCTCTAGGGTCCCCGCGGGCAGGAAAAATATGCTGAGTGTCTTCGGTGACATTTATTGGAAAGGAACTAAGTTATACGTCCTTTCTCGAAGCGTTCGTGTTTCGTCTCCGTCAGTGCCAGCCCACTCTGTGTCCGTGCGTCTGTGGACTTATAACTGTAGTGTTGAGGATCCAAACCCTGTGGTCACGCTTCAGGCATTGGCACACGCTACATCTGTCAGTGTCTGGAGCACGTCACCTCGGTTTTCTGCAAACAAGTTTCAGTGCCTTGAAGGACAGACAGTTCTTCAGCTGTGTACTCTCATTCTTTCTATGTCATTCTTTCCCAGCAGCCATCAGCTTATATCAGTCAGTGTAGTGGAGCAATTTTTAGCCGTCACTTCTTCAATACTAGTGTCAAATTATTCATACCTGCACAAGAAAGACACTGATTTTTTTTAATTATGTAAATGGAATGAAGGCTTAAGACATAATTAATTTCCTGATGAAGCTTTGTATGGTGCTGGTGATAAGGGATCAAATGAATTGTGCTGGTACCAGACTGTCTTTTGGGCTTTCTTTTAGTGAAGTCCTCAATTTATGTAAAGTGACAAGATTCATTGACAAGTCATTATTTTATTGCTCGTTCGTCATCTCTGTATTTCAATAATATGCAGAGTATAACAGTCGTTGAGACATGAAAAGTGTGGCAAATTACTTGATTAGAAATGCATAACTTGTAGTACAATGTTTAATATGATGCCAATACAGCATATAGGAGTAGCTCCACAATCATCCTGTGCCCGTGTCATACAGCACACTTTTACTGATTAAGTGCTTAGGAGTGATTAATTAGTTGTGGCAATTTGTACGACTGGATTTAAATTAGTACTCATAAGTCGCACCGTGTAAGCTGCACCGTCATGATGGTTTCATCAACATCAAGCCCATGAAACTCAAATCCCTGCAGAAGGAATCGTTTTCAAATCTTACAATGGTGAACTCTCATCAAACACTGTTGAAACCACAAGGTCTTTATATTCAGGATTATGAAAAATTGTTTTGTCTTCTTGTTGACCTTTGCCAAAACTGCATTCAAATGAAAAACTGACAAATACACTTTGATGTTTTTGCTAACAGACTCAAAGCAAATAAGCCAATGCTGATAAAGAGGGCAATGACACCAGCCACCAGAGACATGCCTAACACAAACAGTAGATAGGACAGAGGAAGAAGCCTGACACATCTATGATATAAAGTTTCATATAGGCTACAACTGGAAGGCTGTGTAAACAAGGTTTGGGAAACAATATTCTCTTTCAGCTACAGTTAAACTGTTATTTTTTCACAGCCTGTTGCTCTTTACGTGTCATCTTGACTGACACACTCACTGGGGGAGCTTTTGACCACAGTTGAATCAAAGCCTATGATGCTCTCACATTTTCTTGCCTCACTGTGAGTAGTATCAAGACACAATGAATTGTTTTATAGTATTCTGTAGTCTACTTAAGTGTGCATGGGTATATAACAAGATATAACATATAAAGTTTTCTCCTTCTACTTTACTTACTTAGCTAGCTAATACAGTTGGAATCCTAAAACCTTAAAACCTTAAAAGTGGATTTTGTACAAACAGTATATTTTAGATGTTCTATGAGAAGCATTTTATAAACACTGTGAGAATGTTTATCACTTATACAAATTCTACTCAAGACAGGTGGTTCAAAAGTTTAATACTTCAAAATATGTTTCATGAAAACCCTGAGCTACAACAATGTGTCAAAGACTAAAACATAAACAAATCAAACACCAACAAGACTTGACAAATGATCTGTCTCATCTGTGTATTGACAGAGGAGGGTCAGTCCTCCTTTTAACACTCCCAAGCTTCCCCAGCACGCCCCTAACATAACTCCCTCTCTCTAGTCTATACCATTACCAGAAGGGAGGGGTTGTGTTCCTCTCCGGCCACAGGGTGACCCATGAGCCCCTCTGACCTCCAAAGGATAAACTCGGCTGGACATAACTCATCCGGACAAGTCCAACAAGTCTGCGCTGTTCCCGATCGACCTTAAACCAGGCAGTAAATTTTGTGAACTCTGAGCTGTATATAGCCCCCTCCTCCTCAAGGGCTATCTCTGGCTTCCCCAAACTATTCACACTGCTGATCCGGCATTATCCCTATATCCCGTTTGACCATGTCTTTCATTAGGATTCATAAGGTGAAAATAGACACTACAGGGGGAATTATTATTCTAAAACCCTTGCAAAATATCTGCCCATGGGATAAGGAGGGCCTTAAATGCTGAGTAAGCTGACCAGAGAGGCAGTAATAGATGGGGAGCTGTGAGGAGTATTAGGGCATGACTGTGGTTGTTAACCTTTGTCACACACACTTCCTTACTGCGGTGCATTCTTCTCTCCTCTCTTGTTTCCCAACGATTTGGACTTGTACGACTCAAATGAATTACCACGGCATCTGTACAGACTCTATTTGATAGACCAGGGTCATGACCTTTGCCCTCTGCCCCCCCGACTGCTTCTTTCAAGGTGCCATTCCATCAGACTTAACTAACACTAGGGTTGTTTGTTGGCACACTTTGGCTTGGGCTGCGAAAGGACACTCTGTCTATTTGAACAGTCCCCAAAAAATTGTTAAATCATTTTATTTTTTAAGCAATACTTAACAATACAAACCTGCTTAAATTATCACTATGAGTACACCAAATATTATACTAACATACTACCATCTAAACTACAGATTATACACCTAATACAGAACATTCTAACAGTGAACTAACAACCAGTAGTAATTATACTGTAATACTGTATACTGAAATGCAGAAATATCACTTTCTACAATGTTTGGAGGATTACACTGCAAGTTTAAGTTCTTTGTATTTTAATTAGGCTTTTTGCAGTTCTTAACTTACTTGATATTCTAATTTTGTATATTTGCATATTTCAAAAATGAAAATTGTGATCCATTTTCTGTTATTTAGTATCCTTAGTATTATATCCACAAACCAATATAACTGGAATAGATAGCTCAAGATAAAAATGAATGACTAGGACCTCTAAATGAGATGCTAATATATAAAACGTGTTGAGTAGATTTGACATTACCTTTAGCTTGAATGAAATAACAGACTAACGACCCCACATACTTGACACTTACAACTTCCCTGATTCAGCGAGTGTGCTCTGTCACCTGTTCAGAACGCACTCCTCCATGTTAAAGCCTGGGATTAAAGGGACACACAGTTGCTGCAGTTTGACAGGTGGACTCGCTTACTCAATCTCCACCTGTCTCTTCACCATAAAAATGACCTTTCGACTGTAATTGGAAAGAAAGTAGCAAAATAAAGCTGGCATCCGTATTTACATATTAGGTTTCATATCAGTGGAGCGGGCGGGTTTGAAGACGATTGAACTCACTGATGCGTGAACTGGCGATAACAAAGACCAAGATAGCTTTCATTAAAAAAGAAAATAAATCCACCAAGGCGCCAGGATTTGGTGCTTGCTTTGAGACATTACAGAGTAAAAAGATATTTTGAGCAAATATGTTTTAATAAGACAGTTCTGTTTAAGAAAGCAGCTTACTTTCTTTGAAAGAACATATAAAAATCCTGCTATTATCACCTTGCCAAAAGTAGTGGAAGCGATTTAGGAATCAGCATGTGTTTAAAAAGGTGATCATCTCAATTCTGTCCACAGTGAGATGACAAAATGAATACATAAAGTAAGATGTAAGTTTATAGGTTCATACAGCAGCACATAATCTTCTTTGGCAAATGTGTTTCACCAAGATAAAGTATAAATGAACTACATTAAAGACAGCAAGATAAAGACTGCACACTTAAATCTATACTTAATTGTAGCTCAATGACAAATTTGCTTCAGCTGTTATTTTTATTTATTTATTTATTTATTTGTCTAAATAAGTGTAGTGATTTATGTGAAACACAAGAAGCAAAAGTGATGGCATTAAAGTTGTCAATAACTGAACAAACTTTCATATTGAGGAACCATTTTGTTTTTATAAACCATGCTGCCTTGTTGGCCAAAAGGCAAAACAGAAGTACTTACTTGCTACTTCTAGAGAAGCATTGTGGCTGATAGCCTGGCCCAGGTAGTTGCGTGCCACACAGACGTAGACCCCATCATCAGGTTTGCTACGTCGGCCGTGGACAATGCGGAGGAAGAAGAGGGAGCCACTGGGCAGCAGCATTCGATGTGAGCGCGGGTTCTCGCGATCTGTCTCCACGCGCTCCCCGTCTTTGTACCATTCCACTGTGGGCGTGGGGCGTCCCTCTGCCTTACAGTTTAGGGTGGCTGGTTCCCCTTTGGACACAATCAGGTCAGAGGGGTGCTCCACGATGCGAGGGGGGGAGTCCTCTTGACGCAGACGAGAACCTGCGACAAACAAAACAGATCCATTATGATATTATGATTATCACAATTAGTGGTTAGCAATGGGCCAAAATATAAATCAATAAACCATTTTCTTGGAGTCAGATAATGATTTAGATTTTGATCACAATTCATGTGACCTTAGTATAGTTAAACTGCCTTAAAAATGAACAGTTATCTGTGCAGTCCAGTCCACATTGCAATTAAAATCTACCTGCCTGCTTCCTGAGGCAATTTCACAAAACTAGGATATTGTCACAGAAATGAGAGCACTATTTGATTTTGATCACCTTATTTCTCAGTCCTAATTGCAACACCAGCATGAAGTAAATTTAGTTTTAAATGAGAACACAAAACACAACAAAAACCTACTGCTTTCTACATTCTTTGGAAAACAAATTGTTGCTAGAAAAACATAAAAAGTGGATTACAACAAAGTAATCAGGGATGAAATTGGGTCCCCAGGTCTGTGTAAGAAACAATGGAACTAGCATAATTTTATCCCCACCTGAGCCAGAAAGAATGCTTGGGACATGATGTGCTATTTTAGTGAACATTTCAGTCGAGTCAATGCATGTGAACAACTGTTTGAAATTGTTGTTTTTGTGACCGCAGTAATTTGCGAGTGAAAATACTAATCCAATCAAGTCAAAAACTGGTGCCAACCCTTTGAAGAATTTCATATTGCTGGTTCCCAAGTGTATTTTTTGTATCACTAATAATAATCCAATTTGACAAAATAATTACCCAGCAATAACAATCACAACAGATCATTATGTTCTGTATTTGTTCCTTCAGTTGAAAACACAAAAAGGGAAAGTTTACTGGTATTGAAAAAATATCTATCTTTACAAGATGACACAATTGTTTTAATTAAAATGGGATTAGGGCTATGAAAAAACACTGACAGCACTCTTAAGATATTTTTAATCAGCAAAACCACTATTTCAGTCACCATAACCACCACTTTTGTTTGAAACTCTGCAGTATACAGCCTTACCTGAAATTCCTCTAAATGAGTTATAACAACTAAAATCTCCTTCTACACTTCTGCAGTTGGCCATTTTTAGCCAGCCATAGTATGAGACCATTACCAGTGCTACAGCAATAAAAATCAATATTTCCAGCCATACCTTCACTAACAATCCCACCATCACCTTTAATCCCAGATCCACTGATGAGATGTCAATCTTTCTAGTGCCCTTGCAGAAACACTGGGAGTCCCCAATGCACAAAGCAGCAGCAGCAGCAGAAGCCATGGACAAAGCAAACCGCTAATGAGATCCAGGTACACAAGTCTAATGTCCCCACTGTATAAGCTCCTTACATCATGTTTCAAACCCCCAACCTTCACAAACACACACCCGTCTATGAAGAGACATGTTTCCTCTCCGGTCCCTCCAGTACAAAGTAAAGTTGTTTTACTTTGGGCTATAGCTTGGCTATAGCTTCAATTCATACCAGTGGTCTGAATCTCTACATTGCACGAGCAATAGTTACTTACTGGAGTGTAAAATTAATTTTAGAATAACACTAAAATACACTAATGGCTGTTGAAGAGGTAACAATTAATATGTATGGATACAGTACACTACAACTATATTATAATAAAAGGTCATAAAAGATATCCATATCCAACCACAGGGCTTAGTAGTGCTGCATGCCTTTAGTTGCTTAGCTGTTTCATTGGTCGATTAGTCAAAATGTGTTTCATCAGGTTTTAATGTTGTTTATTTGAATAAATTATAGTTACTGGACACAAATGGACAAAATATGGTGTTTTATCTCAAAAAGCTAATTAGATACAGAGTCGTCTATTGAATCTTAGTCTTGGAATTGTCTTGTGATCCCCCATCGTAGTGCTTCGCAATCCCCTTGTGGATCCAGACCCCCACTTTGAGAACTATTGAAATAAGTTGAATTATAGATATAGTTTTCAGAGATTTTGCTAAAGCTGTTATACCTTGGTTGATGAATCCACACACACATGCAGTGGGGCACTAGTCGCAAAAACTGTTGTTGTGTCCTTAGGGAAGGCACTTCACCCACATTGCCTAGTATGAAAGTGGTGCATGTGTGAGTGATGGTCGGAGAAGCCGATGGCGCAGATTGACAGCTGCGCTTCCGTCAGTCTGCTCCAGGGCAGCTCTGGCTACAATAGTAGCTTACCACCACTGGTATGAATAATGGTCTGTAAAAGTGTCTTTGTGACACATGTCTGTTAAAAAGCGCTATATAAATAAAAACTTACATGTGCATGTGTTCAGTCAACCAAGAATTGAACATGATTTTTGTCTCAAGTCTTGATGTAGTATCTTGACAGCTAGCATTGCAAGACAGGGTCAATGCACTGAAGGAGCCATAGCTTGCAAAAGTCTGCAGGCAAAATAACAGGAGTGTTTTTGTACTTTTCAACAAAGTTCTTACACACACTTGTTGATAAAGTTTACATTGTGTGATTGATGGATGTAAAACAGAGAGCTGTACCATCTCAAGTAAATTTTACTTTCAGTGTGCGGAATACAATTTTAATTTTCCCACCACCTTCAAACAACCTCATGTTAGCACAGGCTTTGGACATAACTAATTTAATTAAAAAAATAATATTGCCATTACATTTTTATCTTTTCACACTCACACCCACTCTCTTCCTGCAGTGTTAACATTGGCCTAAACCTGCTATAAAACTTCTAAGGCCCAGCAGACTCTGGGAGTCTATTAAAGGAACGTGGCATTAACATTAGGTATGCAGCCTCTTTTTCCATTTTATTGCAGTGGGAGAATGTCACTCTTGTGTTCTTTCAGGTCGCCGCAAACACTATCTCGCCTCGCCTTGAGTTGGGCCCCCCTTTAACGTGCCAATGGCCCCCGTAAAGCAAATAATCACCAATGTGTGAGAGAAAGATGAGCTCCTCCACTCCCCTCTGCAACCAATAAATCCCACTCAGACACATGTTTACACAAGTTGATAACACCTCATAGCATCCCATGAAGTGCAAAGAATTTAATCCAGCTGCTAGTGTTCTGGTTATCTTTTTTAACTGTTTTATATTCTCTATTAGATTAAGAGAAATTAGTTATAATGAGTGGGGGGTTTCTATAGGCCCACCCCCCATGCTATTCACCCAGAAGACAGGAACAATACATGTTGCTGAATCTGAGCTTATCATTATGAGAAGTGTGCTGACATTAGCATTTTCTATCCGACAGCTCTATATTAACGGGTTGTGGGCTGCTGAGATAAGCCCTCCCATCGCACCACTGTTAACATTATACTTATTCTAATGTGCCGGCTTTGTTTCCTCTGCTGGGACCAGTCTACATTGCTGCAAAGCTTATGAGCGCGCAACTAGAGAGACTAAGGACAGACTTCCAAGATTTGCAAAATAATAATAAAATTTGAGAATTTTAACTCCCCAGTGCTTTTAACTGACTAGTATCACAAACTCAGTCTCTCATAATTCTTAAAAAAAATCTTAAAAAATGAAAATTTATACAGATAGGTTGGAAACAAACTAGAGTTAACCACAAACAAAATTAAAATGTGATGCCTTTATTAGTAATTCTTTTTGCTATCTGTGGCCTGTCTTCAGACCCAGACCTCTTTCTCCACATTGCGTCATTTCCCCCGTGTTTTCTGTCTTAAGTTGAATAAAGGTAAACAAGCCTAAAACAAGCTTTAAAGCATATCACACAACAGGTGGCCTTGTGTGGTTGTACATGCCATACATATAAAAATAGCATTAGTATTATTATGCGGCCCACACAATATAGAGAAAATACTATACATTTACATATACATTTTAGTGCTGAAAATAATGTATATGAGCCGTTGAGTCGCATCTACTCTATACGCACCATCTGTCTTTTACAACAGTGTATTGAAGAGTAATATTTTGTACATAAATGTTTCATTGTAAACCCTAGATAATTAAGGGGAATTTGTTTTACTGCAGATATAATAGCTAATAGCTGATTAGAACAAACCATCTACTTTTGTATTGACTGTATTGTAAGTAATTAGCTCTGAAAACAAACAAAAACACAATCTAATATTAATCAAGGACACACCTGTCTGAGTGAAGCTAGAATCCTAAATAAGCTAAACAAATACATGGGAGAGGGCTCGGGGCTGCCCTGTAGCCAAAATCATAAATATTCCATTTCACACTGAATTTACACATTGTCTAGACATTCAAATATACCACAAAACAAACAGTAGCCACATTGCTTTTTGGGCCTTGGTTCCTTGTGCACATGCTTCCTTTCCTTGTTCTTAATTGTGTTGGGCTGGTGCCTAAGGGTGCACGCAGCTCCCTAAGCTCCCTGGCATTACGGCAAGGCAATATCAAACCGCCACAAGTGGGCCCCCACAAGACTGCTGGTTTATCTGCAAAGGGCCAGCAGCCAGTCTACAATAAGTATGCAGAAACATGCTCGTCCATCCACAATGGACTACAACCGGGCACACCAAAGGTCATTTGTAACACCTGTGCCCCCACAAATCTGTTTTCTGTGTCCTGTCAGTCATCCCCGAGGCTGTGCTGAGGCTCTTATGAAGATCTAGAAAAGAAGAGGAGGAACACAGAGAGCTGGAGTTGTTGTACATTTGTTTTGTTGATAAAAAGGAGGCAGATTTGAAAGGCAAAGTAACTGTGGTTCCCAGGAGAAATGTGCTGAAAGAAGGAAAAACAAAGTCTGGCAATAAAAGTGGAATGATTTGTGCCCACATACAAGTAAGCTATTGGCAACAAAAGACCACGGCAAATTTCCAATGTCTTAATAGCATCATAAATTGTATTAAGACCTAAGCCTAGGAGTTATTATGAAATTACTGTGTTGACGTTGAATTATCTTAGTGGAGACACAGAGAAAATCGAGGAATAACTGAATTAAGGATAACTGAATCAAATGACATATTCCGTCCCATCTGAAATGTGCACTATTTCACACATGTTTTTATTGCAGAAAAATCCCCCGAAAACGTTCTTACTGTGAGTGGG